TAATGGCCAAACGTTGTCAGTATATTCTATGTGTCGAAATGAAAAAAAAATGTTATACAAACATAGGTCTTTTAGAGCTTCGTTAAAAAGTTATGGTGATAATACGAAATGAAGGAAACAATAGCAGACTCACTGTTACTGCGATGTAATACAGAAATAGATCATCAGTATTTGCGTGATATTTACAAGATCGCGTAATGAATTGATACAAAAAATCAACGATGCATTTACTGAAATGAAACAAAATAATAATGAAATTCGCAGAGTAATAAATTTTGTTATCTGATATTTTCTGATGTCAATCTTGCATTGCTATAAATGGTGGACATTTTTGAGATAGAGTATTAGTTGCTTCTTGCATAAACAGGGTAAATATAAATATTGCTGATCTACTTCTGTATTACATCGTAATAGCCGCGAGTCTGCTATAACACTCACTCACACACACACACACACACACACACACACACACACACACACACACACACACTTATATTGTAATGAGATAATCTGAATGTGAAATTGAAATTAGCATTCTTATTTGTAATGTGTAATAGAAAAGTTCAAATAAAAATAAAAATATCGTAAAGAATATAGCTTAAGCTATAACATATGTATCTATTAAAGAGTTAATTTAAGAATTTTTATAAATCTGTCTAGATTGAAGGAAGTGGCAGAAAAGATCAACAGATATGGATTTGTATCATTACCAGCATTTAGTGGATTGAAGGTTACAGTAAAACGTATTATTGTTGGACCAACACATATTGCCCTTCTTACGGAAGACCATAAAATTTGTAGAGTTGCATTTACAGTACTGTCAGACAGATTGGATTTAAGCAAAAATGAACCAAATAGGAAGTAAGTTGAAGAGCGACATTAAATTTAACATATATCATTATAACACAATTGATATAACATATATTTTATTAATATTATAGCACAAATAAAAGTCATGTTGAGAACTCCAATTCAGCGCCAAATGGTGGTAGTAGTAGTGGAAGTGGAAGTAGAGCAGGAATTAGATCACGTGCAAGAATCATGCGTGGCAGTTCTGCCATTCGTGGAGGTGGCAGTAGTGGAGGAAGTAGTAGTGGAGGTAGGATAGGACCTCCAGGTGTAATTATGGGTGCAGGAAGTGGAAGCAGTTCACGTCCTATTGCATCAGTACCTGCGCCATTTGTACCAGAAGACCTTATTACACAGGCTCAAGTGGTATTACAGGGAAAAAGTCGCAATCTTATTATTAGGGAATTACAGGTTTGTTAATATAATTAGAATGTTTATTAATTATATCATACGATATGTTCAATGAATTAACATTGAAATATATTTTGTAGCGTACAAATTTAGATGTAAACTTAGCAGTAAATAATTTACTGTCACGAGATGACGAAGAAGGTGACGATGCCGAAGATACAGCAGATAGCTACGTCCCCGAAGATCTCATTTCATTACTAGATGGTGGATTTAGCAATGAACACTCTGTTATAATCGATGCAGATTCTATGTTCCCCGAAGACATGTTTGGATATACAGGAATGAGAAAGTAATATAATTTTTTAATATCATTTTTATATATTTTAGTCGAGGTAGCTCTTCACGGAGAATAGGTAATGATAGAGAAGGTGAACGTACCTCTGAACGAGATAGAGATCGAGACAGTTTTAGCAGATGGAGGGATCGTCAGTATTGTGGTCCACGACGTTGGCTAGAAACAGCACTTAAAGATTCTTGGGACAAAGATTCTGGTAATATCTAAATTCTTTTAAATTATTTATCAATTTAGAATGGTGGCATGAACGCAGTAGCCGACCTGCTCCTCGTTTTGTACAAATTGCTTCGCTTTATAGTGAATTAATTGCTATTTCTGCTGGAGGACAGTTGTATCAGTGGAAGTGGTCTGAACCTGAACCATACAGAGATCCAGATGCAAGTATCACCAAAACAAGTATTTTCTTAGATATCAATTTTGTGTAATTCAATAGAAAACTGCTTATTTTAGAATCCGAATATACATCATCCGAAGTCTCCGTGGTTAGGAATAACAACAGAGAAAATAGTTAATATATCTGCAACAGCAATTCGATGTTCCATTAATACAGAAAGTGGCAAGGTAGCTACATGGCTTGATGAATTTCTGGGACATGTTGCTTCTCGTCTTGAACATCCAGCTCAAACTTTTACTGAATTTACACTGGATAAAATAGTATCCCTTCATACTTGTGCTTTGTATACTGTTGCTAGACTTGAAAGTGGTGCATTATATTGGTGGTTAGTTGAAATACTATAATTATTTTTAGTAATTTCAATTTTAAAAGAATAATGATAATTTTCTTATTCGTACATTTGTTTTATAGGGGTGTGTTGCCTTTTGCACAACGTAAAAAATTATGGGAAAAGTACAAGGCTAAGTCACGCAAATACAGATCATCCACAGTATCATCAAATGACATTAGTTATGGCACACATGTTTGTATGAAAAATAGCCCTATATATCATCCTGGAGCAATAGGTAATCTATTAAAAAACAAGTTTTTATCAAGTTTTATGATGCAATATACTGAATTAATATGTTTTTTAGGATTTACAATTGCTAATGGAACTCCAAAAGTAGGACAGTTACTAAGCGCAGCTTGGAATTTAGATGCAACTTACAGATTTAAGATATTACCAGCTGGGACTCATTTGCCTAGTACTAACGTGGAAAAACGTGAAACAAACGGGAATAACGGAACAGGTACTATTAATAAGACGAATCATAAAGAAACTGCTGATCGTCTTGATATGCCTCCACCACCTTCACCAGCTTCAAGTACATGCAGTGATACTGGCAGCATCACGACAAGTCACAGTAAGATCGTTTAATCAAATTAATTTCTTTACAATACATAGTACATGTTAATTCACATACTTGACAATTTTGTAGAGAGACAAAAGCGGGTTGCACCTCGAAATGAAGGCGAACCGGAGCGAAAAGATGAGGAGGAGTGGCAGTTGAAAGACGTTGTTTTTGTGGAAGATGTTAAAACTGCACCCATTGGTATGTTTTTATTTAACGAGTAATATTAAAAGTGTCATCGATACTGTACTATAATTTATACTTTTTCTTTGGGCATAGGAAAAGTTATAAAAGTTGACGGTTGTTATGTTGCTGTAAAATTCTTCTCAAAAGATTCAAAGGAAAAGGAAATCAAGGAAAAGGACTTTAGTACATCAGATTTTAAGGATTTAACAACGGAGGAGTTAATTAAATTGTTGGCGGATTGTAGATTGTTAAGAAAAGACGAGATACAGGTAAATGAAATATTGAAACTTAATTATACGAGAGCAGATTAATTTTTGATAATTGTTTGTCTAGGTAATAAAATCATCCATGAATCCAAGAGCTCCTGATTGTTTCCAACGAACTCCCAGAAGAGTAAATATCGTTGAAGGATCAAGCGATAGCATTTTAACTATTGCTACTGATGGACAAGGTAGAATTTTTGCAAATCTGAACTGTTAATGATAGTTTCAATGCAATTGACAATAATGATTGATTAATTACAGGAATCCATGCAATAGTAAAAAATGGAAACAAGTTAAGCTATGTTGTGTATAATTTAAGTACTGGAAGATACGTGCAAGACTGTTATATTCCAGCGGATATATCATCATTCTTTGGTTTACAGCCCCAAAATATTAGTCTTACAAACGCAGGAGAGGTGTGTTTTTCTTTTAGTGAGCTTACAACATTTTACTATAATTGATACAGAAATATAATTGATTTTTGTGTTACAGAGCATCGAGTGCTCTATGATACTTAGAGATGGAAATAACACGATTTATCCACTAGCAAAAGATTGTGCCGATGCTATTCGTGATCCTAATTGGTTAGATTTAGTCCCGGTTCTATGTATTGGTGCTTCAACTATTCCTATACCAAACTGTTCGAATTCGACTAACATGAAAAATCAAGTTGCTGTCGTTGCACTGGCATTCGATAATCCTTTACTTATGCCTCGTATACTACGATGCGACTATGAGAGTGTTAAACAAGTGTTCTTCAATCTGATGCTGGATCGTAGTAAGTATATAAACGGTGTTATAACTTTTAATGAGGATGAAATACAAAAATATTGAAAATATTAAAAATATTTCCATTTTATCTTTCAGAAAACAGTGCACCACAAATTCAAACGATACTAATGGAACGTTGCGACGGTAATCGTAATATTTTACACGCGTGTATCAGTATGTGCTCACCAACTTCGAATAAAGAGAATGATCAAGGTACTAAGATTTGTTTTCTGTGATATCAAATATATGTAAAACATGAATTATTTATTATTATTTTATTGAAAGGTATTGAACGTGAATTAGTTTCAAATATTGTTGATGGGCCGTCTGCACCCATTGAAGAGCCAATTCCCACTCTTAGTTGGCCACCGGAAGCATTCGATAACACATCAGGGGAAGAGGACAGCTTGCTTAGCATTGGTGCTGCTAGTATATCGATGATGAATAAATCAGGTAAAAGTGAATAGAATGCTTTTATATTTTTACTCTTTTTGATGTTGTAATTTGCATTACACATTGCTAAATAAATATTTTCCTGTGTTCAGGCGTTGGAGCAACGTCGAATAATACTTATATCATAGACTCTGTTGAAAGGAGAAACAACGCATTGCTTATATTAAAATATATGTGTGAAAGTAGCGTGCTAGCGCCTCATCTAAAGGAATTACTCACAGCAAAGTAATTATTCCAACTTCAAAATAAATAATATACTTCTATGATTCAATAAAAATAACGAAATTTTTATATCAACAGAGATATTCAGGGTCAGACACCGTTAATGCTTGCGGTATCAGTTCGTGCATATCATGCAGCTCTCATTTTACTAGACACCATTCAGAGAGTTGGAAGAGACCAGAAAGAACGTTCTGCTATGATACTACCTGCAGATGCTAATCCAGATTTATCACCGTTGTTCGTCACTTGTTGTAACGACACTTGCAGTTTCACTTGGACTGGAACGCAACACATCAACCAAGATATCTTTGAGTGTAAAACTTGCGGTTTAACTGGATCTTTATGCTGTTGCACAGAGTGTGCACGCGTCTGTCACAGAGGACACGACTGTAGGATAAAGATCACATCTCCTACGGCTTACTGCGATTGCTGGGAGAAATGCAAATGTCGTGCACTGATCGCGGGTCATCAAGGTGCTCGTTACGAACTTCTTTATCGTCTCATAGTACATACTGATCTTGTCACAAAGATAAATTCACGGTAAATAAATTGATAATAAACTAATAATATTATTGAGGCGAAAGAAAAGAAATTAACAAATGATTTTTCTAATTTTTACAGAGGAGAAAGCATTTTACTATTCCTGGTTCAGACCGTAGGAAGACAATTAGTAGAACAACGACAATGCCGTTCTGCGCTTAGACAACGCTCAACGTCTGCAAGTCGTAAGGGACCTTCATCTGACGGTAACTTTTATTTTAAATTTAATACAATAATAATATTTAAAAAGAAATATATAAAAAATTAAGTGTGCTCATGTTTCAATCCTATAAATAGGTTTGGATGTCGATGTGGCAGATATGCCAGATCACGATTTAGAACCTCCTCGTTTTAGTCGAAAAGCTCTAGAAAGATTGCTCAATGATTGGCCAGCAGTTCAGTGTATGATCATGTCAGGAGTCTCTGTAAATGGAAACGATCAATTATTCGGTGATCAAGGACAATTGTGTCGTCAAAGTGGCACCGCATTACTTGACAAATTCACTCACTCGCTATTAGTTAAGTGTAGTGCAGAGGTAAAGGAATATTATTTTCATACTAACCTATATTTTCAATATATTAGAGAAAAATGGTTAATATAAAATTTCTCGTAGATGCTCGATAATCTTCTTACCACACTGATACGACAATTACGAAATGACACTGTACCTGGACGACACGAAGAAGCAAATAACGTTGCACGCCGATTTGTTCGATCTGTGGCTCGAATATTCGTGATCTTTACAATAGAGATGGCGCCAAATGCGACAAAACGAAGAAGGTACAAAATAAATAAATTTCACTAACGAAGTACTTTCTTATTTTTTTCATTTATACATTTTTAGTACCAGCCAAGCTTTGCAGCCTCTGATAAAATGTCGTAAGGTTTTCCAAGCCCTGATAAAATTAGCCGTCGAAGAATTATGCGAAATTGCTGATTCATTGATAACACCCGTGAGATTAGGTGTTGCTCGCCCAACGGCGCCATTTACATTAACCAGCTCGGCGATGGAAGTGATCAATGGGTCGGAAGAATTGTTCTCCATAGAACCGTTAATACCTCAAAGTGGTGTTACTTCTCAGACTCTGGATGCTACTTTGCAAACGCAGCAAGGAAACAATAATATAACTATTGCCAGAGACATTTCTACTCTGGATGAAGCAGAAGGCGGTGAAGGTATATATCATTAATTCATATACAGGGTGGCCCATAAGTTACTTCACCATTTAAAACACATTTAAACTTTTTCTCAAAATTTGAAACAAAAATTGAGGAATTTTCTGGAAAAGGAGTCCATAGGATAAAATGGTGAATTGAATAAATTACATTGGAAGTTTTAGTTTACCTACAGATTAACTGTACAGGGTGTAAAAAAATTAATGGTCACGGCTTCAGGGGGTGAATCTACACCCTTGGATTGGTGGACATTTGTAAAAAAAAAGTTTCCGCAAAATTGTTTATAACATTGAAAATTAATGTTAAATTTTTTTTTACATCAACGTATTCTGCTCGACGAGAAGAGAAAAAGTCTGAAAGGAGCCATATGCCGCAAACAAATAGTTTCCGAGATAAACGTTGATAAAGTTTGGCAACGGTTTGATTGTGTAGAGCTATACGTGTAGGATCTACTAACCTACTATCACTCTGCCATTTGGTAAGATCTAGGCGTGTAGGACACGCTCGGTATAATGGTGTGCGTGCCCCTACACAAACGCCGCTTGGTTTGGGCCTGCCTTCGAGTTTAGATCTTGCTGTCCTTTTAAACGGCGTTTGTGTAGAGGCACGCACACCATTATACCGAGCATGTTCTACACGGCTAGATCCTACCAAGTGGCAGAGTGTTAGTAGGTTAATAGGTCCTATACGTATAGCTCTACACAATCAAATCGTTGCCAAACTTTATCAAAGTTTATCTCGGAAACTATTTGTTTGCGACATATGGCTCCCTTCAGACTTTTTCTCTCTCGTCGAGCAGAATACGTTGATGCAAAAAAAAATTCAACATTAATTTTCAATGTTTTAAACAATTTTGCGGAAACTTTTTTTTACAAATTTCCACCGATCCAAGGGTGTAGATTTACCTCCTGAAGCCGTGACCATTAATTTTGTTACACCACTGTACATGATTCAACAAAAAGTGCTACCTTTACCTTATTAATAGAATATTGAAATGAAATTTAGAGGAAAGGTTTCTAAACATATGCTGGTTATAGGTCATCTTGTAGATAGTAAAACTGTAGAAAGTTAACGTACATTAATTTTAACTGAATAATAATATATTCGTGTATATCTAGAAGTTCCTATGGACGTGGATGGTGACATAAGTGAGCACGAAGAATCTGGAGTTTCCGGGACTGTAGCTGGTCAACCACTAGGTGAGATTGATAGTAATGGCGAAGGCGTAGGTGAAGAACAGGCAGGAGACGGTGAATCCGATACAGAGCTCGATCTCTTGGCGGAAGCGGAAACCGAGTCAGATTCGGACGATAATCACAGCAATCAAGATGCCGCGTCTGCTCAGCGCAGCGTGCAAACCGGTGCTACAGCAGGCTCTGACGGTGGGATGGGATCCATTTTGTTGTTTCCGGAGGACGAGTCTGGTGAATCCAGCCAACAGGAGGACGACGAGAGCGAAGCAGGAGAAACCGATGAACAGGATAATGAAGATTTTCAGATTGGTGATGAACAATTGGAACGTCGAAGGTAAAAATTGTTTTTTTATTTTTTTATGTGT